CTTTCCTTTCCTTTCCTTTCCTTTCCTTTCCTTTCCTTTCCTTTCCTTTCCTTTCCTTTCCTTTCCTTTCCTTTCCTTTCCTTTCCTTTCCTTTCCTTTCCCTCTCTGAGTTTAGTTTGTATTAGTTTTTATTACTGAAATTACAATCTTTAATAAAAATATATATAAAACCATGGGCTTTAAACATTAATCCTGGCTTACTGTATTGTTCATGGTCTCATGGTCTCTTTGGTTAACTGTAGAGCTGCGCAAATCTTCAAGAGGTTGCTTTATTTCGATGAAGGCTTGAGCGAAGCATCCTCTGAAGATTGCTTTGTGAAGCCACGTGGCCTGCTGGGTATGAAGCAAAGCAGCTGCATCATTTCCTTTCCTTTTGTTGGGAAGCTTTGAGGCTGTCAGTCCACTCCAAGAAGCCACAATGAGGCTTCTGGACATGCCCAGTGTGAGTACAGAAGCTTCCTTCAGCAGGAAAGCACAAGTCAAGTTGTGGTATGGTATACACAATGCCTTGTTGAGACGAACTATAGCACCTTCTTCTCCTGGACAAAGACAGTCATGTTGCCCAGAGCTCTTTGCTGAAGCCAATCCAAGCCACCTCATATACACTTTATAATTCAGTGTATTGTGAAAGTGGGTTAGTTCAGTAACCAGGCTGAGCATGTTATGTGAACTTAGCTACTGTATTTTTTAAGCCTTCCAGCAGAGAAGGTCTACTTTTCTCCTGCCAGGTCCTCTAGGGAAAGGGCCACTACTTTAAGGTGGCCTACCTGGAAGTCTGTCCCATGAGATTTCACTTCTGCAGAGGCATTGAGAGAAGTGCAACCTAGTTTGTTTACAGATTCCAAACTCATCTCTAGGGTTTTAACACAACCTTATATCCATTGCATTGTTGTTTTTTACATTCAGGTAATTGAATTAAGACTTCCTTTCTCTTGTTTTGAAGTCAGTGTAGGCCTTTGATCTCTTCTTTAATAAATCATACTTGGCAAGAATCTGGAGGGTCTTGTTGGGGATGGCATCATCTTGCACCCTGGAGCTGTTTTGACCACTAGAGCAACCGGTGAGAGATCAAGAAGAGGAAGCGTCTTCCTTGTCTCTGTTTCCCACTTGGCCTATAAATGAGTCTCTATGTTTAAGAGCCTGGGAAACTCCCCCTCCCTCCTCTCTCTGTCTCCAAAATATGCTTTAGATAAAAGAAAGACTTTCCTATCCTATGCATTTCTTAATCGAATGTTTATCTTAAATATAACAAATGTCTGTTAGCAATTCCTCATAGCTGGGCTAACATTTTTCTTTTTGAATGGCACCTGCTGCCACTTAATTACTCCAGATTCTTTCACCATTCTGTGTATGCTCAGGAGCACCTCCCCTAACAAGGCTTCTGCTGAGTTTAAATCTTCAGGCCCTTCTTTAATCTAACACCCAGCAGATACATAATCCCCAGGCAGCTTGTCAATTGTGCTCTTTCTCATCTGGAGGGGAAGACTGCCTTAATAAAATCATGGTTCTGGGCTATTTGTCTTGCATTACATAGTATGCCCCCAAATCAATTGTTTAAACAGCACCTTCTTAACATATTTCAGATCATGATAATCTGCGCGGAGAGAGGCCCTTTGCAGTTCAAAAGACTGAAGGGCTTCAAAGGAAATGCACCCGTTTTCTTTTAACATTTCCTGCACAATGAGAAGCAGCAGATTGCTCTGTTCATCTGGAAAGCAGCTTTTGCTGAAATCTGGAGTTATTAAAAGGGGATGCAGAAAAATCTGGTTCTTCCTGTGATGCATCTGGAAAGGAAAATCATTCTTCAAAAGCTGCAGGACTGCAGAACTGTCAGTTATGCAAAGACCAACTTTTTGGAGTTAGAGTAATTTAAAAAGTTATTTTAGCACTACATTCCTGATCTTGAATTCCCACATTCTTCTCAATTATGGCTCCACGCATGTCAAGCCAACATGGCTAAGCATCAAAGAAAACAGTTACCACCCACCAGTATCAGGGTTTGGCCAAATAAAGACGGGGCTGCAATATCTTTAGGAACTGTGGATTGTGCTGACTGTGGCTGCTGGGTGTTGTAGTGAAGCAAGCATCTGGAGGGCCACATTTACTCCTGCTGTAGTGCAAATTAACATCAAGTTTGCCTAATAATTAGATTTCTTCTTGGCTATGACTCCCACTGGCTCTCAAGTTAGAAAACTGGAAGCTGTCCAAGTTTATCAGCAGAACAAAGCCTCTCTAAAGCTAAATAAGGCAGTATTTAACAAACTAGAACCAGATACATAACCAGCTTGCAGGACCTACTTTGCTTTTCATCCCAAGGCCCAACCAGTACACCCAGGTCCCATGATCCACTCCAGCTAACATGGCCAGCAGTGGTGGAGGCTGGAAGTGGCAATTTGGGTGGCCAGTGGTTCTTCATGCTCATCTCAGAATTAAGAAAATGAGCAGATGTAAGGAAACGCTCAGTCTAGAATTCTCGTCAATGTGAAAAGTGCCACCTTGACATTTTGACACTCCCCCCATGAATGCCCTGGACCTCTCAGCCCTTTCATTTAAAAAAATCCAGTCCCAGTTTTCACAGTAAGCTTGCTTTTATCTCAGCCTAATTAAGAATTGACACAGAAGAAAAGACATTTCTGTTATTCTAAAGCCAGCAGTTCTCTTTACCTTCACTGTAAATAGATAAACGTATAATAAGCAAAGGGTTTAGTTTTGTAGATGAGCTCCCAAGCTGCTTGTTAATGATTCTGAGGGAAGTTCAACAAGACTGGGCAAAAGGCTTTTTATTGGCCCATGGGAACTGCAATCATCTTGTTTTAATCCCATTAGTCTAAATTCTTAGTTTGAGTAATTAAATGCCTATGAAAGAGATAGGGGCTTGTTAGATAGTATGAATTATTTATAGCAGGAAATTCTTCTTTGCTTTGTGCTTGGTTCTCTCATCCTGCCATGAACAGAGACGTTCTAAAGGTCATCTTTGGTGGGTGTTTGTACACACTTTCACCCACACACAAGTGAAAACCTATAGACAATAAAGAATTATCTCTAGAGTTTCCTCGAAGGGGCCCAGCTGATTAGCTTCTCATTATCAACTTCAGTGCAGTGCAAGGATGGGCAGAACTTGGACTGGTCAGCTTTGAATCCATATTCAGAGTGCTGAGAGCTGCACTGAATCCCCAGCTGTGTTGGCAAAGCCACCATAGAAGTGGGGCATCGCATTGGCACAAGACAGCAAAGCTGAGAGCTGAGAAAATGAAATCCAAAGCAGCACTTTAAAGGCTGTCTACTCATGCCATTATCAGAGAACTCAACACTCACTGACCCAACAACATTCTCCATATATGGAAGTGAAGCTGCACCATGGTGTGTCATCTGTAACAACCCCGAAGGATCAGAAAAGCAATAAAAGCCTGTGAAGAAGTTTGAAAGTCTACAAAGCACTTCAAGACCCCTTAATTCAACTAACTGCTTCAAAATTAGTCTGCTTCAATGATTTGGCGCGGTCAAAACTTCACTGAATTGAAGTATATTTTCAACCTTTTTGCATTGCTCCAATCTAATTTTGTTAAGATTATACTGCCCATTCCCATATAGGGGCTCTGGGTAACTTATAATATGAGAAGGAAATCCTCCTCCCACCAGGCATCTCCCCCCCCCCCAGCAAAACAGGAGAAAAAACAAGTAAAAAGGGCCGAAAAAAAAAAATTAAAATGAAAAAAAGACA